ATAAATGATAGATTTTATTCAACTTTTCTCTTAGGTGCTCACAATTTCCTTACTCTTCTCTATATTAGTATCTAGTCATACTTCCGAATATTAGATATTAATTTCTTATAAGTGGACCGTATTATATTTCGTAATTCATAATAATACCTCTGCTTTGCAATGATTACAGTAATATATTATTGCGCCACGTTACCCCTAATAATCTTCTGGAGATCGAAGCTTAAGCCACTGATTGAAAAATTGTACATTAATCTCTATTAAGTAATAGCCGATAATTCCGACTAATGCACCTCAAGCTTGCACGTGTAATTAAAATTTTCCAGCGTTTTATCTCAGTCCTCTTCCACGTGCATGCTAAATTTCAACTTCACTATATGCGACAGGTAATGGTACGCGTATGAACTTTCCTCTGTGTTTAAGTTCCAAAGTGCTATGATACAACGTCAGTTATCGTAGCAATTACATTCGTGCTACTGCGAATTTATACGCAATATTTGCGTCAGATGAGCAACGGCTATTTGCAGGAAAGGGAAGGAAATTCAGTGAAATATTAATATCACGCATCGGTTACGAGCGATATGATTCGACGTAGAAATGTAGTGTTAAAAATATCCGCGCGCATCCGGCATCCGGGAGGAATTTAATAAAACGCAGGACATCAAATCCGAATATATCTATTTCGCTCATCATTTCCCGGAATGACGCGACGTTTATTAAATCGTAATTAATGTCTGCATCGATGATATTACGTTATTATTTTAGTAAATTTCCCGCGTGAGGTAAAACGCCGTTCAATCCCCGGTATCAACTCCGGATCTCTCGATTAACGCAAGCCGCATGATACCTACATCATAGTGCTTCTAACGCCGAACTGACGATCGAGGTACACCATTATTGGGTCAAGCACGATAAGTGAGTTACGTGCTACTGAAGTTTCTCGCGGACTGCAAACGGGCATTTCTCACGACACAGCTGGCATTTAAAAAGCCACCGTTAGAAATGGCTCGTTTAATACCGCTGCTCACGGGATTAGGCAGGATAATCTATTTAATGCTCGTTTACGAGGAGCTCTTTTAGATGCACAAAGGAATTTCTCAACATTTCAGTGCAAAAATTTCAATGCTCCAAGTGGGGAAATAGTGATTGTACTGTACTTCTCCGGCGAAGTACCTCTTTTTCGTTGATTTCTTCATTGAACGGCACCACATTTTTGCTTATCTGACAACGCTCTTCTATAACGTTGGAAAAAAGAAAAAAGAATAATTGGCCGCGCGGATAGTTGAAAAGCAACTGCAGAGACAATATCTTGATATCTCGCTCGTTAGATTAATTGCATTTGGAATTTGCAATCCGCTTTTTTCACCATCGCGCTGCGTTGCGCGCAGATATTGTGCTCGTAAAATCCGATTTTACAGCACCTTTTCTCTCTACACACACACACACACACACACACACACACACACACACACACACACACACACACACACACACACACACACACACACACACACGCACGCACGCACGCACGCACGCACGCACGCACGCACGCACATAGATACGTAATTATTCGATACACCTACTTTTTTACACGCTGTATTAATTCCCCTCGTACCGACATAATAGTTCGTATATAGCATATATATGGATTTTATTTTTTAACGTTCGCGTCATGTCGAGCTAGTGAGAAGCTACCATAAAATATCGGTTCTTCGATGTAGAATCGCTCGCAATGACATCCATTATACCAGAAATATCTTGAAACGTCCTTGGAAAGATCTCTCTTTTCATTTAGAAAGATTAAAACGGAAGCTTGTAGAAAGACGTCGCATATATTGCACTAGGCTGCGTTTTACTAGGCTAATAACTCCTGACCTCTGCTCCGGATCTATGGCATTTGTCCGCTTTAGAATATGTTTTCCGTGGCACGATTAGCGATTCGTAACATTTGCTCGTCGTGGTCATTTATTCATTCGCTTTAGTAAATAACCGTTTGCTATATCAGGCAGTGTTTGAGATGAACGAAGGAATATTCGGCTGTGTGTACACGTTGCAAAGCAATCTCGTGTTTTCCACCCTTCTAGATTAATTGCTCTTGACCCTTTTAGCTCGAAGCTGCGCGCCGAATACTCGTTTCTACGTCATTTCGAAATACGTGGTTTGTCGATTTTTTACAAAAAAAAATCTATGAAAAATGTACAATTCCAAGAACTTACAATTACGTGCAACAAAAACATTAGATTTCCTCGGAACAACGAAATTATAGTTTTTAAGCGAATGTACTTTTGACCGCGCCATCTTCGTATTACAAAATTTCAGCCTCATTTAGGAATGAATTCTGTACGCGTTATTGATTTTCGGTGGTACCAGAATATCGCACAATTGCAAACGTTGAAATTGAAACTCCAACCGTAACTGCATTACAGCGAATTGGCAATCGGATTTTCAAATTACAATTATAATTTTTAAATAGCCATATTTAATGGGCTATAGTGTTACCTTGTTATGTCGAACTCAAAGAGAAGGATTTAATAGAATAACTGAACCAGAGATACGGAGACGTGCCGCCATGCGCTGCATTGAAGACGAAAGTTTCAGTCATTGGAAATTTTCCGACGCACTTGTCAATTAGAAAGCGATATTAAAGACGTCGTTTTATATATAGCGTCACGTGAATTAAACGGAACTCGCGCTTCACTATCCATTGTCTCGCTTGAACTTCCACAAAAGTTCAATCAATAATGAAACCTCTGATTTCTTCCTTCGAATTTCCATCTCAGTAATATTTATCCAGGCAGTGCTAACTCAATATACGACGTTCCCAGAATTTCATTTATTCTAAACCTAGCACAAGATTTTCTCCAATTATATTTTATATAAGAGATACCAATCGAAGAAAGGAAGAAGGTAAAAAAGTACTTCTCACAAGACTTTTATTGCGTTCATTTTAGCTCTCTTACACTAGAAAAAAAGTCTGGTTATACTAATTGGAATTTTAGTTGAAAATGGAGAAATCATATTTTTCTGATTGAACCTATTATAGGAATTCTAGTTGAAATAATTCTGAATTCTGATTAAAATCTTCTGATCTGTTCATTTTTAACCAGGAATTTTTTTTAGTACGATTTTATCTATTTAAAACAAGAAAAGTAATTAAACATATTTATTTAATAGTAGAATTTGGAAAAACGCAGAATCCGTTTTTTTTCACAAAAAGAAGCCATTTCTAGAAAATTATAATATAAAATATATAAAATGACGTAATCAACAAGTATTGTTTGAGACACGTTCGATTTTATCCATTAATATGAGCTTCGCGTCACGTTCCGTGCCTATTCTTGCGAGGAACTATTCATTTCCACTTCACCCATTGTATATCGAATGCTGATAGTGGGCTATATGGCTCAACACCTCTCGGATTTATACACGCCGTTATCACCCTAAGTGCCACGTTCTCGTCTTCCTTAATCTGCCATTAACTCCCTGAAATATCAACGACATTTGCCAACTAGATTCCTAGAAGGGAATCGATCCAACGTAATTGAATAGTGGAAAAACTCGTTGAATTGTTGCAATTTAATAATCAGAAGTGGCCGATATTATCTTGATGTTGATACTTGTGATCTAACTCACCGAATATATGTTCTTTAAGAAGTATCGGAAAAGTATAATTTTATCTCTTCGTAAAGAGAAAATATTTACCAACTGATATCGATTTGTTTTGTGTAAAAAATTGTTATTTATGACTATCGAAGATGGCTTTAACGAAGGCAGTAAGGCTCTGTATCTGTAATAAACATTAATAATATGTTTCGTATCTTCTTAAGTTGCTTATTGCGTTTTTTATCATGTAAGTTCTAAAGCTATGAGAAAAGGAACGTGAAAGCATTATGAAAGAAATACATATTAGTGAGACAAGACTTTCCGTGCCAAGTTTAATGCAAAAAGCTTTAGCAAGAAGCTCTATACCTTCGCAAGACAAGGTTTGAAAACATTGGCCGTTCGCGTGAGTCGCTAACGTGGTTTGCTTCCGCGCGGAGGAGGAACTTGGAAACTCCCGCTTTCTCTAACAGCAACGGCAGGAAACTTTTCGTTGGGATTTATTACATATTTCTGACCCAGTTCTCAATGAAAAACTGTCCCGATTCCCATGGTGATCTCTGTAGCGAGTGCATTTATCGTATGGAAAGTTTGATAGCGGTTTCTATATAACTAGAAGAGAATGTGGGAGTTTGTGTATTATGAATAATAATTAAACAAAAACGCATGTTATTACCAATGTATGTGACCCGATAGCAGGGCAACGAAATTAATTTTACTGCGGTCTATTAAACAACGCAAAATATTAAAGTAAATTATTTATGATAATTTATATAATTTATCCCGCGTTCTTTAAAACGCAGCCAATTAAATTTTAAGACAAACGTCAATTTATCTGTGCCGATATTTAGATCGATATAATAAATATAAATTCGAGCATTCGACGCGCAGATTATTGCACATTAAAACGACTCTAACTTGGCGTTTCGTTTATCATAATCATTATTGTCTTTTGAAAATGGAATTCAGTACTTCAAATCCTCAGTATACCGGTTTTAAAGCTGACAAGAGTAAAGAAGGAAATTCACAAACAGAGGTGAGTGTACATAGACGACAAAGTAGAATAAAACCTCGGGCGAACTGAACCAATTGCGTGTTACCGCCTGCACTAATCCGACTTTGAATTCATCGAGAGAAAAGCCGTACAAGAGCCGGCTGATCCTTCGCGCGTTAAAATTATTTCTTACGCGGTATTTCTTCAGGTCTCCACTTTCATCTAAAAGCTTGGAACAAGGCATGCAACATTTATTCGTATCTTTTACTACCACGTCAATGAGATATTAAGACGCTAAAGAGGTGCATGCTAAACAGTGGTAAAGTACGCTGCGATAAGAGACGAGGTAAGGATAGTGTATGCGACAATAGCGAAAGCTGAAGGAATAAAATCATCATTTATTTAATACCGAAGGGTTAGTCAAGAGGGTCACCGCGGCTCTTAGGTGCTTCAGATTAAGTGTCTGTGTGTTTTCAAGGTCGTCACCATCTTCTCCTAAAAGCGACGATGTTATTTGAACCGATGATTGTCGCAGGACATCAATGTCCCGTTCATCCTGTCTGATTCTCACAATCCTGCGATGGTCTCCTTCCCTGCTGCTATCATCTCTGTGAGTTAGTTTGAAGCGTCTGCTAGAGAATGGACATGCCATCTTGCAAATTTGTCGCTCTATTGTAGTCCAAGGGATGATCACCCACAGATTACCAACGTGAGATGTGAACACGCAGTGTTAATTTATGAGGGACATGTCGCGCGCTCGTCGTATTTATCGACGATCAGCTGGCTGCTTGAAGCTGTGTGCCCTTCCGTATCCTCTCTCACTGTACTCTCCAGTAAATTTTCTATAAACCTGATAGTTTTTACGAGACCGTTCGAGACCTAAATGTCATATCGATGTTCTAAGCGGCACGCAAACACGTGAGACCGATCCGAAAAATCGTAATTAACATCGCCTTCATCGTTGTCTTCCCGATTGTCGTCGCCGTATCGTCGGCGTTGCTGATACCGATATTGATGATAGCTGTCGAGGAGCCTATCATCCTCGATCGCCTGATCATTTACCACACGTTGTGGAGGGAAGCCACTCGTCGTCGCAACGCGCTACTGGAGCACGTTTATCCGGCGTTGTCTACAGCCAGCGTCGGGCCGGATGCGATGCACGCGGTTGCATATTAACTAGCGTCACCTTTTAAAATTTACTTCGCCAAAATTTATATCATTTTCTCTTCGTCGTGATTTTGCAGAGTCTTTTTCACTATGTGGTCTTCCTTACCCTTTGTTTGCGATCCCAATTCCTAGGGATGCCAAAAAAGCGACCCAGTTGCGCGAGATTGACAACCGTAATTCGCGCGCGGATTTACCCTGTCAGGGATGTGGTGGATCGTCATTCAACGGGTACACGGATACACGGTGAACGACGTGAACGGCTACGTACGTTACCATGCCAGAGCGCGTAGCGCCATACTGCTCGCGGATTGACCGAGGCGCAACGAGCAACGCTCCGAGGCGGTGGAGAGGAGAGGAGAGCGACGAGGAAGGTACCCGAGCGAGGGTGAATCGACGGCGTTAGGGGTGCGCGGAGGGTGGAGGCGCCACGATGGAGGGCACCAGAGACGCCTGCGCGTGTTTTCCAGCCTCCCTCTCAAACTATCACGCTTTCTGTCCTCTCTGCTCGCAGGTTATAAAGAAGAAAACCTACATACCTGCCTGACCTGCTTGCCTCGCTTGCTCTGCTTGTTTACCTACCTCACCTGGTTGACTTGCCTTGTAGTTAGTCTGCTAATTTGCATGTATATTTTTCTGAGAATTTCAAGAAATTTAACGTATATCTCATTATTCATTATTCATTATTCATTATTAACTTATGTAATTTGGCCGCAATAGTGGCATATGTAGCTGACAGATGAAAACCGAGCAATAAGCATCCTCGCGTTTATTTCAGGAATTTATTGAACATCAAACACATTTGTAATTAGATTAATAGGACATGTATTGCACGCGCGAAGTGCAAATTGTAATTTGCAAATTTATTAAAATATACCAAAGCGACAGATAAATTTAACGATAATCTAATTTAGTAAAATATTAACGATAATCTAATTCAGTTAAATATTGAAAAGAAAATTTGTGTTATATAAAAAAAAGTGTAATTATATGGAAAAACTGTTCGTTGAGTAGATCATGTCAATTTTATATTATTTATAATATTTAAATTATCTTATATATTGAATCTCAGAATTTTATTCTTATCTCTTCCATAATAAAGATCGTGATGTTATTATCTTATATCTCTTGAGATAACTTGTTAAGTATTCACGTCAGGTCAACGTTTATTGCAAAAGTTCTAGTGACATTATTGTAATTATAATAAGTTTACAATAAATAATTATTGTACATCTAGATATAGTTACTACATTGTCAAAATATTTTCTTATAGATTTTCTGCGATTGGCGAATCGCGAGCAAGTTTTTTGAAAATTTTTATTAAACTTTCTTAAACACATGTTTATAACAACATTCTGCCAACAAGAAACAAAATAAAAACTAAGTCATCTTGATTATTGCAATAATTTATACAACATCTAAATAGTAGACACACAATCTGGATGTCAGAAAGTGATACACTACGAAATTAAAGCGGCTAACATCTTCCAAGTTAATAGCACATCTTTCTTTTGCGGAATAAGAAGAGATATTTGAAGATCCTGTTACTTTTATATACTTCTATACTATACTGCTATTCCACGCTGTTTTATATTATTATGGACCAATTCTCCTCTATGGATCAATTATTTTTAACGTAGCCACTTAAATGTTATATCCTTCGAAATGCTTCAATGCGTCTGAACTAATAACTGATCAATAATATGTTACTCTTAACATAATTTCTTAAACGTTATATTAAAACGATTTAATAACATCGATAACCGATAATTATTTATGTAATTTTATTTTATCCTCTCTGAAATGTCCCTTCAATTATGTAGTTTATGATAAAGTGCTAAAACGGGATTGCACGATGTCAATGGAAACAAGCGAAGAGTATAAAGACATTAGTATAGATGAGTTTGATAACAAAATTTCTGCACTTTTCTGCTTCATATCTATATCACAAGCGATCGACAGGATAGGGTATTCATCTCGATGTTCGACAATTTGGAGCGATCAATGTGTACCATTATCACGAGGAACATTGCTTCGTGCCGCAGTTGAATGTCAGTGGTCTATCTAAGAGGAAGTCGGTTGGTCCGATCATTGCTCAAGAGATTCCCGATGAAAACGCGCCGTAAATTACGATCACTCTAGGGATTTGTATAAATATCGGCTGAAAGAGAAAAAGCCAAAAACATATTGCACGAAAGTTTATGGTATCGGTAGAACATTGTTATTTAAAAAAAATGTTTAATACGTAGCATCTCTTTGCGACAATGTTTTTCTCTAATATACAAGCATCGATACGTTGCGCTGTTGAGAAAATAATCACCCGATTGTGATAAAATGGGGGCAATAAGGATATAAATATCTCTTAGGAGCGGCACATATCGGACTTTGCAGAATTAGCACATTAAATCGACGATTCATGTTTCGTTCAAATTTCTCAAATTATTCAGATAAGTAAGATTATATATCTTTTCTATTTGTTACCTTTATTGTTTGCGCCTTTTTCATTTAATGAAGAGCTAACGTCACAATAATGCGTAATGACTAGCGTAATACTGCACGCTATTAGGAAAACATAGACTTTTGTAGACATTTATTATATTTTATTTTATAATTTTACGATTATATCATTTATGCAATAAACGGCACAATTAAAAAACAAAGCTTTCAAAAAATAAATTTTAATATTTTGAATTATAAAAATTTTAGTATTAAATTTTATATTAATTTTAAAATGCAATTTTGGTATAATAACTGATTATATAGAAATAAAAGTATGTTTTTTAAAAATATATTCTTTTCCTTTTCCTTTATATTTTTACTCTTTTTTGCAAACAATTAAAAAAAATGACAATTTACAAATATTATTATAGCAAATATAAGTGATATCTCGCTATAAATAATAACGACTTTTTTTCTATGTTTGCATTTATTTACTTTCAAATGAAACTGTTTCCAAACAATTATAGTTATTGTTTTGCAGTTATATAATTCGTTATAATACATATTCATATATATTTAACACATAACTATAGCCTGGATATTATAAATGTAGTTAATTAAACGCTATGCTCAAATATCGCATGAGTTTGTAAACATGCATATATGATATTAACGCATCGACATACATATAATGCATTCCATTAATTGTTACTGACAACTGATTCGAACGTGGTCAAAGGAACGTGTAACGTGCATGGCTATTCGAAATCGAATTACATCATAACCATTAGTGACTAAATTGTATTTTTGCAGCGCATCGAAATGCAGCGAACGCGATTTGTGGAATGTGTTTTCCATTTACCAGATTAAATCGACTCGCCAGATGTAAAATTTGACTACCCCATGATTTTCTTCTTTTAGAGTGGAGTTTTTGTGTTTTTCCTTCTATTTTCCCTTTCTCTCTCTTTCTCTTTTTTTCTCTCCTTTGTGTCTGGTAAATTTATTCACCGTAAAGACTACATTTTTACTTGCTGAGTTTACGCTTATGATATCGCATCGATCTCATGCTCGTTTTTTGCATATAATTTTAGAATAATTTACGTGTATCACACGATTGCTAGAGGTCTTCATTCGTTTAAAGATAAAACGTGTCCTATTTCGAAAACAAATCTATAATTTTACGAGATAGGACAATATTTACATAATTCCATTCTTTCATTAATAAAATATAATAAAATATAATTTATATGATCTTTAATATAAATTAAAAAATTTTACGTGATTTATTTAAAAAATATATATCTTTAATGTTTTTATTGTTTTATTAATTATTTATGTAATTACATGGGCTTAATTTTTTTATTTAAACTCACCATCATGTGTGAAAATATCTATATGTGATTCAAATACAATGCAATCATGATTCGCTAAGTTTTTGTACTTTCTTTTGAACACGACTCTTAACTTATCTTCAACTAAAATACTTCGTATATAGCCATTGAGTTAATAATATTTATCCAAGCTTACTAACTACTCTTTATTTGTCTTTTGAGGGAAAGAAAATTTATTCCATTTTTTTTACATATTCAGCGTATATTCTCTTTTTCTGTTTTAGCAAGTTGTATGATTTATTGCCTTGACATAGGTGTAAAAAAAACTTTTGCAGATAATAATAGAGATTGAAATGCTTGATTACACAGCGTTATAACTATAAATGTTATAACAACGTTATGACTATTTATAAATGTTTTTATATAGACACATATGTGTACACACATGTTATACATATACATATAACATATAAATATAATTCTTGACAGTTCTTGGCGAGATATCAAAAGTTTCAGAATTACAATGTAATAATAAGTCTTTATAACGCTGCATGACCGGAGCTATCATGACCGGAGCTATCATGACCGGAATGCATTTTAGAAAAGATAAATAGAAAGTTTTAATGGGCAGATTTGTAAACAAATTAATTAGTTTGTTGGAAACATTTACTTTGTTTAAAGAAAAAAATAGTATATGTATGTTAGTAACAAAAGCTTACATCAGCATAGAAATTACCCTAAGGAGGGACTCATAAAACTACCGTCGTGATCAATAACTGTCGGTGATCAATAACTTACACGAGCGTTGACGGCGAGATTATCA